CACACACATATATAAATTATGTATTTTTTAAGATTTTAGTTGTTTTAACTTTTAAAAGGGCATGATGCTGTATGTAAAGTTTCAGTACTTAATAAAGTTTCAGAAACTTAATAAAGTTTCACTGTTGTTTTCTAAGATATATCTGTATTTTTGTGTGTGCTGGAGATCATTTGATTTGACTTGTATTTGACTTACATTCCCTTGTACAACTATACCATAGCCTATCTATTTACCTTTTTGTTTGTAACCTTTTGTGTTGAATCTCTATTTTTGCTGATGTGAAAAAGGGCTTGAAATGCCTATTCTTATTCACGTCCAAAAGCCATGGGTCATAGGATGTATGAATGTTAAATTTGAGAAGATGCCCAACCGTTTTCCAAAGTTACTGCCCCAAATTATATTCCTCCTTGCTACGTTTAAGAGAGATTCTGGTGATACATATCTTCTCCAGTATTTTATATTTTATGTTTTACTAATTTTTGTCAACCAGGTGGATGTAGTATGACATTTCATTGGGGTCTTAGTTTTCATTTCTCTTGAGTAGGTAATTTTCACATTTAAAAATCACTTCTCTTTGGTGGTTAAGTCTGAAGCAAACAGCTGATGAGCAATTCTGCACTTTATCTTATTATTACTACAGTTTCTGCACTAAATCATATACTTAGTATTCCTTGTTCTCCTTCCTTTGGCTGTATGTTTAAAATTCATTTTAAATCTTTGTATTTTTCAAGCCACACTTTATTTTAAACCTTGGGTTAATTTTTTTTTTTTAATCTTCCCAACACCCTCCTTCTATCATGTGTATCTCTTCTTGTGAACATCTTAGAAAATTTCCAGTTCATCCATGTTGGTTTGCTGGTGCCCTTTCCTTCTCCTCATTGTGATCACTCATGCTTGATTCTCAGAATGTCTCTTTATATCCCAGCATCCCTTCTAAACTGTCTGAAGCTGTTCTGTCCAAATGGAATGGTTTTACCAATTTAAACAAGATTAACTGTGTAGAAGTATCTAGAATAATACCATCATAAAGTAAACACTCTTTTGAGTTTCTGGCTAGTGAAAACTTTTTCTCTTCTTGCTCTTACAAGAAGAGAGCAAGATAATTTACTGAAAGATACACATTAAGTTATACCCAGTGTTTCATTCTTCATTGGTTAAAATTATAAAATGCAAGGGTCACTTTGTTATGAAATTTCTCTCTTCTACCTCATCCAAATCCATCCAAAATGGATTTCAGTTTGAAATTCATCCTGAAAATTTCTTTTTGCATCCTCTATCTTCTGAGGAGTGACAGAATCAGCAGGCAAGTGAGAAAGATATGAAATATACTTGTTTTGCAGAATGAAGTTTCCAGCAGATGGTGGTGGTGAGAAGTACCCCACATAAACTTTATGCTTATGAATTCTCACTGCTAGTTTTGAGTTTTGCTCTAGATATCTGAATGGTCTGAAGATGTAGCCTCTATTTTGGTTCTAATTTTTTCTTCAAATTCTCTGTCATGCTTCTGCCCCATTATGTATGGATTTTATTTACTTTTTTTCCTTTCTGGCATACAGTATCACTCTTCCTTCCCTAGAAATGATCAGTTTGATCCAGAAAATTGAGTCCTGTATCTTAGGACCATCTAATAGAACCTACTGTTTATCTAGCATCATCATATTATGTGGATGCAATTTGCTGTTGAAAAACTTATCTCCTATTCCTATAAATCTTTCAGTTTCTCTTAAGTACATTAAAAAGTACTAGACATCTGCGATAGTTTTCTTGTGGCCCCAGCATGTCCCATGCCAATCGATTAGTACAAGTTTAGCTTATGGATTTGTTGAAATCTTTGTTGAATTTTCCAAGTATTTCACACTTAATAGATTTTTTTTTTTGATTACAAACTTTAACCTTTTTAGAAGCAAATCTCACTACATTTTCTTAAGAAAAAAAAAATGGTTTAAGATACTCTTTGAAAAGGATTGTTTTGAAATACCTGTCAGATAAGAGTCCCAAATTCCTGTGTATAAGAGCAAACACATCTTTTACTGTAAATGCCAACTTCTCTAAATGTATTCTTCAACTCAAACCTTGTTCATACCCAGTATTTCTGAAGGTAGCAAAATATATATGGCAGATGACATGTTTGAGAGAAGGTACAACTTTATATCCTTAAAAAACATTTTGTATTCATATTCTCATTTGCTTAAATAGTATTCATATTTGTTCAGTTCAGTTCAGTTGCTCAGTCGTGTCCGACTCTTTACGACCCCATGGACTGCAGCACGCCAGGCCTCCCTGTCCAACCAACTCCCGGAGTTCACTCAAACTCATGTCCATTGAGTCGGTGATGCTGTCTAACTATCTCATCCTCTGTCATCCCCTTCTCGTCTCACCTTCAACCTTTCCCAGCATCAGGGACTTTTCAAATGAGTCAGTTCTTCACATGAGGTGTCCAAAGTATTGGAGTTTCACCTTCAGCATCAGTCCTTCCAATGAATATTCAGGACCGATCTCCTTTAGGATGGACTGGTTGGATCTCCTTTCAGTCCACGGGACTCTCAAGAGTCTTCTCCAACACCACAGTTCAAAAGCATCAATTCTTTGGCACTCAGCTTTCTTTATAGTCCAACTCTCACATCCATACGTGACTCCTGGAGAAACCGTAGCTTTGAGTAGACAGATTTTTGTTGGCAAAGTAGTGTCTCTGCTTTTTAATGTGCTGTCTAGGTTGGTCATAGCTTTTCTTCCAAGGAGCAAATGTCTTTTAATTTCATAACTGCAGTCACTATCTGCAGTGACTTTGGAGCCCAAAACAAGAAAGTCTGTCACTATTTCCACTGTTTCTCCATCTATTTGCAATGAAGTGATGGGACACTGGATGCCATGATCTTAGTTTTCTAAGTGTTGAGCTTTAAGCCAACTTTTTCATGCTCCTCTTTCACTTTCATCAAGAGGCTCTTTAGTTCTCCTTAACTTTCTGCCATAAGGATGGTGTCATCTATGTGTCTGAAGTTACTGATGTTTCTCCTGGCAGTCTTGATTCTAGCTTGTGCTTCATCCAGCCCAGCATTTCTCATGATGTACTCTGCATGTAAGTTAAATAAGCAGGGTGACAATATACAGCCTTGACATACTCCTTTCCCAATTTGGAACCAATCTGTTGTTCCATGTCCAGTTCTAACTGTTGCTTCCTGACCTGCATACAGATTTTTCAGGAGGCAAGTCAGGTGGTCTGGTACTCTCATCTCTTGAAGAATTTTCCACAGTTTGTTGTGATCCACACAGTCAAAGGCTTTGGCATAGTCAATAAAGCAGAGGTACATGTTTTTCTGGAACTCTTTTGCTTTTTTGATGATCCAACAGATGTTGACAATTTGATCTCTGGTTCCTCTGCCTTTTCTGAATCCAGCTTGAACATCTGGAAGTTCACGGTTCACGTACTGTTTGAAGCCTGGTTTGGAGAATTTTGAGCATTACTTTGCTAGTGTGTGAAATGAGTGCAATTGTGTAGTTTGAGCATTCTTTGGCATTGCCTTTCTTTGGGATTAGAATGAAAACTGACCTTTTCCAGTCCTATGGCCACTGCCGAGTTTTCCAAATTTGCTGGCATATTCACAGCATCACCTTTTAGGATTTGAAATAATTCAACTGGAATTCTATCACGTCCACTAGCTTTGTTCATAGTGATGCTTCGTAAGGCCCACTTGACTTCGTATTCCAGGATGTCTGGCTCCAGGTGAGTGATCACACCATCATGATTATCTGGGTCATGAAGATCTTTTTTTGTGTAGTTCTTCTGTGTATTCTTGCCACCTCTTCTTAGTATCTTCTGCTTCTGTTAGGTGCATACCATTACTGTCCTTTATTGGGCCCATCTTTGCATGAAAAGTTCCCATAGTATCTCTAATTTTCTGGAAGAGATCTGTAGTCCTTCTCATTCTATTGTTTTCCTCTATTTCTTTGCACTGATCACTGAGGAAAGCTTTCTTATGTCTCCCTGCTTTTCTTTGGAACTCTGCATTCAAATGGATATATCTTTCCTTTTTTACTTTGCCTTTCATTTCTCTTCTTTTCATAGCTATTTGTAAGCCCTCCTCAGACAACTTATTTGCCTTTTTGCATTTCTTTTTCTTGGGGATGGTCTTGATCACTGCCTCCTGTATGATGTTAGGAACTTCTGACCATATGTTAAGTCATGTGATCCTGTTAGGAAACTTATTACTGTTTTATTATTTCTGCTTTAAATATGAGAAAACAGAGACTCAGAGAGGTAAAGGAATTTGCCCTAGACTAAACAGCTCTTAAATGTCAGCATCAAAATTTGAATTGGGCACTCTGCATCCTCAGACCATGTTCCTAACCACTGCACAGTTCTTCTTCCTTAGTAACCAAAACTTTCAGCTGTGGGAATTAATTAAGAATACATGCACAGCTCCTTTATTATTTCTGGAAAAATAAAATAATTCAATGGTCAGTTTTATAATTTTTCTGTAAAAGAAGTATGTTGGTAGCAGTTGGAATTTTACTTTCCTCCTATAGACCAAATATAACAAAAAATCAACTTATAAAAAAAAAGGATTACAAGATTCACTTTAATTAATAGACACTGCTTTCTTTTAATTTTAATTCATAGCTATTAAATATGTTTGTATTAACACATTGTGATGGAAGGATAAAAGAGGAAAAAACAGTGATCTTGTCTTTAAGGTTTGTAATTTGATTTCAACAAGGAAAATGCATGAATAAGTAGTATGTACAGTATGATACAGACCTCATAAATATCTCTATGATATATATAAAATTGGTAATTTAGTATTTGCACAGTATAGTTTTCTTTTAGTTCACAAATTCATTGATCATATCATGTAAGTTTATTACATATAATGAATATATTCAAATAATATTGATAAATTAGCACAAGTGACTTATTATTCTGCGCTAATTCATTTATATTTTCTGTCTCAGCGTATTCTTATCCTGTTGACCTTTTCTCAATTTTTTTTTACATGTATCAGAGTTGTCATGATGAGGAAGATGACGATGGGGAAGAGGAAGTGAAGAGTTTTGAAGTAAGATGGATCTTTCACTATTTGCCTTCTATCTATGTTGAAACATTGTTTCATAGCTTATAACTGACATTTATGTTTCTTGCTTCATGGCTTATTGCAGCTTATTGTGTCAAGGAACTGCATGTCAGAAGCTGGATGGACAAATTTGAGTCCTAACATTTGCTGAAGTTAAGGCCAAGGAACTTAGACTAGTTTAAGAATTATTTTAAAGCCCATATGTTCAGGATGAGTGTTCCTCCATCTTGGAGATGAGGTTGCTTCTCATTGTTCTCATCTCGGTGAAGGATGGGATCTGAAATTTCCAGCAGACATGGGAGAAAAATATTTATGGAAGAGCAACCCAACATCAAGTTTCTAATTAAAGCCTTGATTTGAATTTTTTTCTGAATCAAAGAAGTCCGAAAGATTTGGCCTCTTTCGACTTCTGCCCAATTAGGTCACTCATTCCCTGTACATATGTAAGTGGTGGCACACAGTTTGCTTGCATGAGGCAGGATTGCATATATTCCTAGGATTATGTTCTACTATATGATTATTCCCTCAAACCTTCTCAACTTTTAAATTTCCTTATAGTTTGAAATATTGCTCAATATTCTTTAGCCAAAAAGAAAGCAAATATTATTTCCCCCCTTGGCTTAGGCTGCACTTTTTTTTAAATATATATTTATCTATCTAAGAAAGACTAGCTGTTGCTAACTACCATTCTCCTTATTTATTGTTTTTTTCTTTTTTGAATTTTCAAAAAGAAATTAAATGAAATAGATTAGACTTTTTTTTTTCCTGCTTTTAATTTACGTGTCTGCTTTGAGCTAGAAGTTTGGAACTATATTAGTAGCCAGCTGTAAGTCTTTAATTAAAGTGGACCCACAAAAAAACGAGTAGGTGAGGAGTAGATAGTGAGTAGGACCCTTTCTGGAACAACTGGATGAGAGTGTCCCTGTGGCATTGCATTGAAGTCATTGTGTAAAAAAAAAAATGCCAGAACAAGCTAATTTGAGAATAATCCATGACTATTGCTGGCTGAGAAAAAATGCCTTAAGGTTCATTTCCTGGATAACACTATAATCTTTTCTAATGTATGTGTGTTCTAGTCTCAATAAGATAAGAAACTTAGCTAAATTAGAATGACTTTCAAATCCTAAGTCATACTATTTTTCTGAAGTGCACACCATATATACTCTATCGGTTGTCTTCCGAGCAATTGTTTATTGCGATTTTGCTTCTTGTCCTCATCCTTCCTTAAGGTCACAGGATCCCAACGCAGCAAGGTAAACTATATATATATGTGTGTATTTGTCTGGGTCTGAGTTTCAGTTTCTTGTGACATTTACCTTTGTTAGACCCAACATCTTGGATTCTTTTGTTTAAAAAAAAAAAGATCTTGCAATCTTTGTACCAAGTTTGTAGCTCCAATGCAATTGGTCTCTTCAGTATCCCTTCCTTGACATAAGTTTATTCTTCTTGCAATTTAAATGACTCATAATTTGAAATTTTATCCTCCATGTTGAATTTGAATGCGTACGGTGCTGAGATGAAAAAGTCCACCCTTTAGGTGATTAAATTTTAGCTGGTGACTTTTCATTGTAACATTTCATGCCTTACCCCTTTTGAGAGTTTTTATATTGGTCTCATTTCTAGAAAAGAGATATGATATATGGTATTGCTGGTGGGATTAGAAATAACCTCCTTTTCCTTTGTGCTAGTAATACCCTCAACTGGTAATTAGAGAGGATATTCCATGATTTCAGTGTTGATTTAGTATTTCCTTATAGGGAAGAACTAGATGACCTTTTCTATCTCTGAATATTCTGAAGAGCTAAGTATGTGGAAAGTTTGCTAAGAGAAAATATTTTAGAATCACAAAAATTTGCCTTTCATTTGAACCCTGTTAAGCTTACATTTTATTTTCATGAGACTGCTTAGTCAGAAAATCAGGTATAAACATCCCAAAAAGAAAATGCCTATAATGACTTTAGTTAAAGAAAAGAAAAAAACCTTATTTTTTATATGAGTGTAGAGTGTCCTTTCTTGCCTTCTATTTTATAAAGTGAACTATTTGCTGTTAAAGTGAATTTAGAATGTCATAAAGAATCTACTTTTTTTTTTTTTTAAGAATCTACTTTTAAGAAACAAATTATAATGTTTTTTACTCACTATTATATTTGGAGAAATATATTGTTCTTATATCATTTTAAAATTTGACTTCATGCAGATGCTACTAAATTTAGCTCCAATCAGATGGATATAATTTAATGGCATATAATATGTGTAAAAATTATAAATTATAATTATCAGTAGGTATCATGGGTATAATCTTGATTTGTTGGATTTTTATAGTTTTATCACTGATGATCTCAGATAGAATTCCTGTGACTTGTTGAGGGTGGGAAATATGAAGGGACCTCCTGACATTCACCAAAAATTTGATTTCGTTAGACACTATTGAAGTTCATGCCCGAGTATATATTGACATCCATGGAATGGGGGTGGATAAGGAAGGCTGGGATAAGAAAGTGTTGCTGGTTAAGAAAACCATTTTACTCTGAAGAGGAATGTAGTTTCAGGAAGAACTAAAGGCAAATACAATTTGGTAAATAGGATCAAATTTGGTGACATTAGAAAGGTTCCCTATTCAGAGAAAAAATCTGAAAATACCTAGTAGTGGAATCTTAGCATTTAGAGTGTAGAATTCTGGTCATACGGAGAACAAGAAATCAGGAGTCTGTGGAGCACCCCCTGGGAGAATGGGCTGCAGGCCATGGATTTAGGATGCTGGGAGAGAAGCTCACATATGGTGAAACCTGGTAATTAACCCCAAATGAGCTAGAGGCCACCAGATATGACTGTCCCAGCAGAAGAGAGGATTTCAAAGTTACTAGTAGTTGCCATATATTCATATGCATAACACAGTAGACAAGATTTGGAAATTTTCACTTCTTAACCAGGGCTTTACTTATTCTTCATGTAATTTTGTACTGTAACTAATCATTTATGTCTAATCTGTGTAACAATCTATTTGCAAAATATATACTATGTAAGTAAAGAACTTGAACTCTTCCCAAGTTGAAAAAAGAGAATCATGGTTTTCAGAGAGTTGACAGAATCAACAACCTATAAGGATAATTTTGTCTGAAATTGACTCTCTGATACCAATATCATGACTGAAAAAATTTGGCCAGACAACTGAATTACTACTTTCTCTTTATAAATTTAGTAACATACTAGACTTTTCACATTGAGATGTCTGGTTGGCTGACATCATTTAGGTACAGTCTGATAGTGGAGTTTTTCATCTAAGTTACAATGAATTTGAAAGGCCATTTGGTAGTTTCAGTAATTCTTTAAACAAATTACATTAAATAAATTTGGGAATAGCATAGTGTGTGTGACTAGTGAATTTTGTCCCAATAACTGGCTGATTATTAATATTTGCTGTACTTTCTACTTGAATTCTCTATCTATAAAGATACTGAGAAGAAGAAAGAAGTAGATTAAAAAGGCAGCATTATAAGGGAAAATGTCCATGAGGAATAAAGTAAACTAAATAAAGCTCAAGAAACATGGAAAACAAGGAGTGGAGGCTAAGTGCCTGGTATTAGCCAGCCCTTTTCTTCTGTCACATGTATGTTTTACTGATGAGATCCTGTTGAAACTTGCCTGATTTAAGTTGATAATTTAATTCCCAGCTTTATCTGTATTATGTGTATATTTATCTACAACTACTTATTAAAAATTTTATTGCATAATTAGTAGTTATATATTTCTTTGACTTCAGGCTACTTTAATATTAAAACTATAAAAAAGGACAGTTAAATCATAAAAAAGCCAGTATTAACTGAAAGGGAAGAAATGTTTTAGCAATGACCCAGAGTGTTAATTACTACAGTCCAGTGCCTTTCTGGCCTTTGAATTTTTCTTAAGCAAAACACATAATAATAAGAAATAAATCATAATATTTCAAGTCAAGTAACTTTTTCTGAGCATGATGGGTTTTTCTCACCTAGAACAACAAGAAACTTTGGACCAGAGCAGATCACATTTTTAAATTAAGATTTTGTAAAATACTCAGAAACATTGTTCCAATGGTTGCTTCTCCTATTACTATTCTTTCAAATCTGAGGGTGCATCGTTCAGTGATAATTCAATGAAAGCATTTCTGTGGAATGTTAAGTGCTATAATATAGATTTATTACTCATGGAAAAACCTAAATTAATGACAGTGAATCGTAAGTAATCTAAAGGAATGGACCATTAACTCACCTTCTAGACCATCTTTCTCAAATACAGTATTAAGCAAGTTGCATTATCCTTTGGCAAATGCCCAGTTTCTACTTCACAGATGAATTCTCTGCTGAGTCCCTGAGGTCCTATTATTCTGTACTGTTGATTAAGGAGAATTCCTCGTGTCTTCAGTGCCAAATACGGCTGTGGCAGAGTTGATATTCTGTAATAAAAATTTAGATTAATCTGTGTCTTCTCCTGGATGAGCCTCAGACATGACTAAAGTGACATCATACCTGCCCAATACTCAGAGCAATCAATACCCAGCTCACATTCCAAAGAATGTATGATTACATGTGGAGGAATCAACTTAGGTCTAAAATGTCTTAAGGATCTATGTTATATAGCTAAACATCATGATAAAAACACTTTCATTTGGCCCTTCCAATGATTGTGATTTTGAACAGAATTAATTTTTTTTGGTAATGAATTGCCTATAAGATGTTCCTTTTCCAATAGCTACCCATAATTTGATCACTGAAGGAGTTTATTTGGCTTCTGTTTATAAGAGCACTGTAATTTAAATTGTAATGACTACATGAATCTTAACCAAAGAGAACCATTAAATATCTTTAAAATTGAGATACATCTATGGTTATAAAACATGGAAATAATTATCTCTTATTAAGAAAATGTATACTTCTTTAGTTTCTTCCTCAGAAGCTCTGTGGTATCAACATATGGACTCTAGAGTGTTGAGCAGCTGTCAAATTGTTGAATGACTGAAGGGAAAGGGGGAAGGAGTTTCCATGACCCGTGGTCTCTCATAATCATCTTATTGTTTCAATGTGCCAACTCCATTTTTATATACTGAAATTGTTGATCTCAAGTAATACCCTCCCATCTTAGCCCAGGTGCTGTAGAAAACAGAGTAAAGAGGTTATTTGCTAGCACTTTGTTGGAGTTGTTACAGTCTTAGGGAAGTAAGAGTGAGGAAGGAGAGAACTGATACAGGGAGGCAGAGAGAACACAGTAGTGCATTCTTGAGCTGGCTAGCTAACCACAGCAAGCCAGCAGTATAGCTAGTTGCTTGGTTGTGTTAGATGGCCCTGAAGAAGTCATATACATCATGGACTGGTACTTCCTGGGGAAAAAGGAGCACTTCTGGTCACAGGGTGTTAATTTGTTCATATGTCTGCCGATACTAATCAGCTCTTCCAGAAAGCAGAAAGTGAAAGTGAAGTTGCTCAGTCGTGTCCAACTCTTTTCGACCCCATGGACTGACTATAGCCTACCAGGCTCCTCCGTCCATGGGATTTTCCTGGCAGGAATACTGGAGTGGGTTGCCATTTCCTTCTCCAAGTCCAACCCAGGGATTGAACCCAAGTCTCCCGCATTATAGGCGGACGCTTTACTGTCTGAGCCACCAGGGAAATCAGAACCAGCATGGGTTCAGCCTCTTGAGTGTCCGGGCACTGCTGTCTCTCCATTTCCATCAGTATATGGTCTCCTTAGACAGTGGTTGTGGTGCTAAGAGTTAGCTTTCATAACCAAATAACTGGTACAAACTGTCTCTAGGGCCACCGTACTTCAGAAGCAAGGCAAGTTGCTAAGACCTAGAGAGAACGGGGTTTAGGATACACTGGAGTACTGGTCCTGATACAAGGAAAATTCCCCAAAAGCACAATCCTCTATATTGTATATGGTAATTTATACATATGAATGTGTAGGTCTAAATAGCATATGATATGTAGACAACACATATTTAAGCACCTAATTGTGCATTTGATATGCACAATAATTTGACTTCATGTGCTATTGTGTTTAAAAATAATCCCAGTTGAGATGGACATGTGTACACTGCTATATTTAAAATAGATAACCAACAAGGACCTACTATACAGCACATGGAACTCTGCTCAATATTCTGTAATGACCTAAATGAAAAAAAGAATTTTAAAAAGAATAAAGTATAACTGATCACTTTGCTCTATACCTGAAACTAACACAACATTGTTAATCAGCTATGCTCTAATATCAAATAAAA